AGGTTTGATTCAGATAAAATCACTAGATTTTGTGTTATTAAGCTTTCAATAGAACAACACACCAAAATTAGGGAAAACAAACCACATCAGTGGGCTAGTTCCATATTGCCACCAAAAGTACAGATTTGACGTAATAACTAATAACAATCTGAACAGTATAAATCAAAATCAAGCGTAATAGAGAAAAAGCAACTATAACAACAACATAAACAAGCAACTATCACTCTCAAGACCTAATCTACAAAAACTACCATTTTGAATACACAGCCGTAGTCTTTGGATAAATGACCGTTGCACAACCCTCATCATGTGTTTCCCTTATTTTCAGAAAAACATCCCCAATCCTTAAAAGCTTATAAAAAATTGAATCCAAACTTGCACAATTATAAAGGGTGATGCATTTGATATTTTTGAGAAAAACTACAATTTGCGTTTTTGACCACCCTGTATGAGCAAAAATTGAAATTCGAAGAAGTATCTAATAAGATGAAAGCTAAGGTGTGTAAGTTTTTTTATTCATAACTTAGCACTCCAAATTTCAGAATGGCGGACTGAGGGGCTGCCGAAGTAGGGGGTTTTTCTAGACAAAACCCCTTATATCTCAGTAGCTAATTACTAAAACCCCATAGTATGTTATAACAATTTTCTTCCATTGAATTGGTTTATCCAAATATGCAATAAAATTTCAGGCATTCCATTTGAAAAATCACAAGTTTGAGATGTAGGGGGAAAATGGGACATCCTGTATAATGGCCAATGTTTGAGAAATGTGCCCTCTAATGTCATGTGTAACATGCCATAAATAGATTTTCCCAAAATGTATTTGTTCATGAGTAATATTCCGTCCTCGCATGGATGAGCCACCCTGTATATACTACAAATATTTAGCAAACATTTTTTTAAAATATTTGATTAATACTTCATGCTTTCGGGGTAGTCGTTGAAGTGAAATTGAATGATCTCTAGATGGACTCATAGTAACTAACTAACCTCTGATTTGGACTTATTGGTCAGAGAAAATTAAATGGCATGCGGTTGGGCGCAATTGCTCGGCTTTTTTTGGAAATATCCTTGATATGAATTTGAAATGAGCTTCAAATGACCTCATAGAGACAAACTGACCCCAAATTTCAAATCACCGACCCAAAGAAAACCTGCCAGCTTCCCGAAGTTCTAGACCACTGTGAGGCAGTATAATGAAAAATGACCTCAAGTAGGTTGTTTCTGCACTTTCCATGCAACGCTATCATTCCACATGGAACATTTATCCCCTCTTAGAAAAAAGTTAGATAAAAACATGTCAAATAGAGGATTCAAGCTAATCAAGCCAGCGAAATAAGCCCCCACAGTTAGCCCTTAGTCTTCACCTATTTAGCAGCATTGGGATCTAAAAATTTCTCCTTTGTTGAGATAAACAGACTTCGTCAAAGGCAGCGGCTCGCTCCTGGCAAGTGTTTTTTTGTTCCTTGCGCTTAGCACGAATAATGGAAATATTTATAAATATTAGGTTCAAATGTAAGCAGAAATCTGTGTGAAGTATGTATAGGTGCATAAAAGGGTTAGAAGCGTGATGTACCGATGCTAGAACACTAAGGCATACCTGCCTCGCCTTTTGGAACCCCCAGGCCCAATGTTTTGCCCATTGACAATTTCAAAAAAAACATCAAGAAGCAAAGTGTGAGATAACTAACTTTTTTTTGTTTTTACCGCCACCTACAGCCTTTATATCCTTAGCGTAGAGCGCCAAGTGTCCAAATTCCGTTAAAATCCGAGCGGTGCTTTTAAAGTTATAGGAGGTTCAGGAACCAGTGGATAGATAAACAGACCGACAGACACACGGAAATAAAATGCATGTCTTTTCATGACCTACATCTCATGTAACACAAAACAATTGCCAGTTTCTCGCGAATTGGTGTGGGACGTGAATTGGATGTGTTGAAATGTTCCAGTCTTGAAGACTTAGGAACTGCTGAATTATATCGCCACACCCTACCCGTAAGGCGCTAATTACTATCATTAATTTGGAACATTGAAATTCAGTTCGCGTGACTCAACGGCCATCAGCGAGTCCTAGTTTATCCCTTAGGAACTCATGAAACAAATTTTCCGCTGTCACTCAAACAGTTGAAGCAATCTGACCGTTCGATCTGGCCGATTTGTTAAATTGCCGTACAAACAATGCTCATACCAGGAAAAGGAAATCAAAATCGGTGGCAGAGTCCTAGTACCCTGTTATTAGCTCCAATGTATCTATACAGGTACCGTCTAAATAGATGCCGTGTGATCTCAAAGCGAAGACACTGCTTGTAGTGGAAATAATAATATGTCAAAAGTCTATTGTTAGTATCGTGTACACACCTAGATCTATTTGTTTAGGTTGTCGTGGTCTTGATATCCGGATGTTCCTAATCGGAGGTGTTAATTTTTTCATGCCACGCTCATAGAACATTTCTACAATTGCTTATTTAATTGTTTTTATGAGGAGTGTCCTAAAGGTATGTGCTACACAATCATCAGTATGTTAGCATCCATTGTGAATGTCGACTTCATGCAAAGTGGACGTCACGGGAATTGACCGTGGCGTCATGTGATCATTAGTAACCAAGATTATCAGCACACTACTCTAATACATTTTACAGCTGTACAGGGTGTCGCAAAGGTCATAGAGAAAACGGGAGGGGGTGATAGGGGGTTATTTGTTATCAGAAAAACACTGTATGTCCTTATTCGATTATGCACGGTTTTTGAGTTATCGTCATTTTTACGAATTTGTGAAAATCGCTACTTTTGAGACCGTACTATTTTTTCTGAAGTTGGGTTTTGTTATTTATGTCAATCGGATCAACATATGTTCCCAAAAGACGGGTCGCTGGAAAAAAGCTATAAGTGACATTTTATCCCAGTTAATGTAGGTACAACTATTAATCGGCAATTTTGTCTTTTCTCAAAAAGATTACGACTTATTCAACGAGTCCTGAACAGAAAATTAGTGGGCGGATAAAATTGTCCATGGTGATTTGTAGATTATATGAACTTTTCAAAATGCTTTTTAGATAGTCAAATATCCTAAACCATTTCAGCGCAAAGTAGAAATGCTGCAGGTACCCCGAATCCGGAGAGTCCCATTTTTTAAACTCAATCCTTTAACTGCCATTGTTGATCTTATTCGTCCCAAATAGGATGTGCAAACATTTATGTGAAAATAAATCTTCAAAATGGCGGCCTTGGCATTAGTTTGGGTGTTAAAAGCCTAGCGAGTTAGTTAGGCAGGAGTGTTTCCAGCACTGACTCAACTTATGTTCTGGGCTAGTGAATGGTCATATAAAATAGCCCATTTGAACTACCGAATAGATTGAGTGTATTTAAATTACATAAGGCTGGTAATTGGGCTTACAGGATTAGGTAATGCTGCTGCACTGCTTCAGTAACGCTTTCAACACCCAAAATAATGTCAAGGCCGCCATCCCTTAGAATGACTATAATTAGGATTTGAAGACTTATTGTCGCATAAGTATTTAGGCACGCTATTTGGAAGGAAAAAGATCAACAATGGCAGTTAAAGGGTTAAGTTTAAAAAATGCGAATCTCCGCATTTTGTCCACTTTGCGCTGAAACTATTAAGGATATTTGATTAAACAACAAGTTTTTTTATAGAGCGCCATCTGAAGAAAGCGATCTTACCTGAGCTACCATTAGCTATCTACAGGAAACGGAATCAGAAATGCCCATGCCCTTTATTATCAGTACGACATAATAGACACCACCTTCTCATATTCTTACATGTAATTGCTTCTGAAGTTACTTGCCGTTATTGTGAACTCTCCAAAATTAGTTAAAACTTTACTTCACCGCTACTAAACTATATATATTCGCAAACAATCTCATTGCTCCATGAGTTATCGGTTTGACAAGAACAACGAAATATGTCGTGTGTTATGTGGCTCTGTTTACAGTTGTCGTAATTGTGGATAAAGTGATCGAAAATTTAGTTTACTCAGTTGATATCCTAAGTTAATGTATACAGCTAAAAACGTAATTGTCTGCAGGGAATTTGGAGGTCAATTAAAAAAGTTAATCTGCTATAACCCTGCATTCTTTCCGAGTGTTGGTTTGCTAGGTTGCCGTATTCTGCGATCTTTCGTGATAGCTGCGCCATGAGTACTAAGTGCCCAAACTGTTCCACTAGTTTTACCAGACAGGGTTCTGCCATTGCTTGTGACGGCTGTCGTAGCGAAGTGCACCTAACATGTTTGAGGCTCAATGCTGATGAAATTAGAATAACTAGAAACAAATCAAGACCTATCAAGTTCTTGTGTAATAACTGTAGTACTCTGATGGGTCAACTTGGTGACAGGAAAAATCTTATTACGTCACTTAAAGATGAGTTTGCCATGAAAATTGCTAGCCTGGAAGATAAAATCAACGGTCTAACGGGCTCGACCAGTCAATCGATGGCAAATCCATTTACATTTGAGGATGTTGTAGAAGGAGTGAATGAGCGTAGGAAGAAATTTATGGTTTTTGGTTTGCCAGAATCTAGAAATTCCTCTAGCCAGGATCCGATTGAAAATTCAAGCCTAAAAGTAACAAGAATGGGGAAATATATAGAGAACAAATGCAGACCCGTTAAGGTAGTTGTTGGTGATGAAGAGATTGTTCTTACCGTTATCAGGAAAGCAGGTGATATAAAGAAGTTTCATAAATTCAAAAACGTATCACTTTCATTTGATATAAGACTAAAACAAATTGAGTGTTTCCGACAACTGAAAGTGCAACTAGATGAACGTGTCAGTAAAGGGGAGAGAAATTTGAAAATAAAATATGTAAATGGAGCTCCAAAAATTGTACATTTAAACTTACAGATTCACCCAGCAGGCAGCAGCGGTGGCCGCAGTAGTAGACTGTTCGGTCTCCTGATCAGTCGCCGTGCGCTGTCCGGGTTCGAGTCCCGTCCCAGGAGAAAATTTTCTCTTGGCTATGGATGTTGTGATTGTCCGTAGGTGGTAGACGGTTTCTGACTGTCGAACGTGGAGGTACCACTCGGCGGATCTCGTAGGCGGAGCCAGAATGTGTGCATGTTGCATGCACACGTGTTCCCTCGCCAGAGTCCGTGTGGCGTTCCCCCTTTCTCCTGTATCCCCCTATTGAACTGTTTCCTGCTGATTATAATGTCTTCAGATCTGTCAGAAATCTAAACTCCACAAATCTGTCTACAGGTGGTGGTTCTTTGATAGCTGTAAAGAACACTTTTCATGTCATGGCTACCAATGTTGTTGCTCTTAATGCAGTATTTCCCCTCATTGACACAGCAGCAATTATAGTAATACAGTTTTTCAGTATTATTAAGCTTCTTGTTATATACACGGTTTATGCCCCGCCTTCTGTAACGACGGAGGTGTGAGTATTACCTGGATGCCTTGGAAACATTCAATGGTGTTTTTGAAAAGGAAAACGCTAGAATTCCAGGGAACATGACGTTTAATGAAAACACTTGTACCTCATCTCAGGACATAGTCGATGCTTTTGCAAAATTTTTTTCAACTGTGGTTATAAATTCCGATTCTCCTAATTGTGAGTTCATGACTTCAAATCTAACTAGTATGAATATATCTCTGAACAATGTAAGTGAAACGGATATAGTTCATGCTTCCAGAAAGTTAAAGAATAAAATGACTTCAGGCTATGATGGTGTGCCTAGTTTTTTAACAAAGGATTGTATTCATGTATTGGCAAAACCGCTTTGCATATATGATATTATTAACATGCTCTTGCCCTCATATCTGGAAAATGACCAAGGTATGTCCTGTCTTTAAAAGTGTCGATAGAAGTAATATTTGTAACTATAGTCAGATTGCGATACTTTGCAATTTTGGTAAGATTTTGGAGGTTATTATTTATAATACCATTTTCAAATCTGTCAAATGTACTTTATCTCCTAACCAGCATGGTTTTGTTGCTGCCAAATCAACAGTCACAAATCTGACATGCCTGACTCAAACTATCTCTGAGGTATTACATGACCAGGGTCAGTTGGATGTCATTTATACCGACATTCAAAAGGCTTTTGATCAGATAGATCATTACTTGCTTCTTTCTAAGCTTGAAATGATTGGGTTGTCTAAATCTTTATTGAAGTTGATCAGTTCATATTTATTTGATAGAAATCTGTTCATTGAGATTGGTGGTTTTAATTCTTATACATCAGGAGTGCCCCAAGGATCATATTTGGGTCCTTTGTTTTTTGTGTTGTTTATCAATGATCTGTCGCTGGAATTGCCTGGTATGCATTTACTTTATGCTGATGACTTAAAAATTTATACTGCTATTCAGAGCTATCACGACTGTATCTCTCTTCAAAACAGCTTGAACTTGGTGTATTCTTGGTGTTCCAGAAACTCTCTTACGATTAATGTATCAAAGTGTAAAGTTCTGTCTTTTAGTAGGAAGCAAAATGTAATACATTGTGATTATAGTATCAATGATCACTTACTCGAAAGAACAGAAACGTTCAAAGATTTGGGTGTCGTATTCGATGCCAAGCTGACATTCAAGGATCACATCACTCAAATGGTGAATTCAGCGTTTAAGATGCTAGGCTTGTTTGTAAGGAATTGGTCAAGGCTTTCAAACATATCAACTCTAAAGCTTTTATATTTTACATTTATTAGAAGTGAGCTGGAATACGCTTCATTAATTTGGTCTCCAATCTACAACAATTCAAGGGTTAGTATTGAATATGTGCAGCGTAAGGCTTTAAAGTATTTGTATTACAAATTTTATGGCAATTATCCTAAAAGAGGTGTCGACCATTCTATTTTATTAAACATTTTTGATATAGAGTCATTGCATCTTAGAGGCAACTTATCAGCGCTACATATTCTGTACAAAATAATACACAATCAAGTTGATTCTTCATTCATATTAAGTAAGCTTAATTTTCGTGTGCATAGGTTGGGAAATCGTGCTCAAATTACTTTCCATCCGGTTATTGGTAATACTAATTTATTGTCTAGATCTCCGGTAAATATGATTTGTACATGTTTCAATTCTGTTTGCAGCTCCTGTGACTTATTTTTTTTTGATAGTGAGAACTTTGTTGTGAAGTGCTACAGAGACTGGTACCTTTGTCAGTGAGAGTATGTTTTTTCTTTTTTTAAGTTCTCTTTTTGTGTTTGGCGTTACCGCTGTTGCTAATTATGTAACTTTTTCTTGTATTTTTTCTGTAATTGGGTGTTACCTGTTGGGAATAAATAGACGTATTAGACGTTACCACTATCGCTTCCAACAGCAGAGAATTGTGACGGCCACCCTCCGGGCCCCTTCTGCCATTCTGCTGTTGGATTAGGTATTAACTGCTCACATAGCAAACTCCTTTCATCCCATAGACACACAGCAATGCAACAAAAAATACCTTGTTGTCCCATGATTATTATTTCTCGCAATCCCTTCATGCACCAAATAATACCATACCCTCAATGCAGGAGTCCAGAGCCATGTGTCCTACTTACACACAGTACCCCTTCGTGTAACACCCTATACGTATCCAAGAAATTTCCAAAATACTTTTTTAGAAATATGTTTGCCTGCATCCTTTTACTTCACATGCCAAAACTGTCTGTCCGCTAATTTTATGACTACCTCAAACTGGAAGAGTATTCTTGGATTTTGATTAAACTTTCACGCAAGGTTACTATTATGCCATGGATAAAAGAGATTTGTAGCTTTTGAAAATCGGCTTAGTGGTGGCGAAGCTAGGGACAAAGACACACAAATAAATAAAAATCACTTAAGCTTCGTTTTTTGACGTTTCAGAGTCTCCTGATTATTTTTGGAATTCTTTTTGTATGGGTTGAAACCTGGGGTTTGGGGATTGTAGGGCGTAGTGGGTTGCAAATGTAACATATTTAGTGTTACTCAAATACGTACATTCTATCATTAAGAAGCTTCGGATCCCCGTAACTATTAAAATTAAATAATAAAGGTCCGATGTGTAACGTGCTCTTAATTAAGTATCTTGTCAATCGTGGCGTTGCGTGCCGGCGCGGTGCTGTATCGTCGTAGAGCCCACTGCCGACTGTGTAATGGGTATCAAACTCTAACTCATTGATTCCCAAAGTGGTCTATATCGACCCCTAGGGGTCTATGACAACCTGCAAGGGGTCTACGTCAGCGAAAAAAAATTTGGGGGTCCATGAAATGAATATGGGTGTCCACGATAGTGGATCCCAACACACACTGATAGTACCTATTTACTTACATCATACTATCTTATAATATCAAAACATATACATTATTTATAAAAGTACCTATGAAGTAAAAAATTTATTATATATGTTTATAAAATTGTGTAAGTTGTAGGATGTTGGTATTCGCTTTGTGGTCGCAATACATTTTGAACTTGTAAAAAACTGAGAGTCGCAGTCTCAGAGCTTCGCTACCTTGCACTGACTTGTTCAATTCGTCACTCTTTGAATACGAATGTGGGACAAATACGTTTATTCGTTTCCTGAACCTTGAAAAGAAAAGTGCTAAGAAAATATTTTAAAAAATATAAACAGGTAGTATATCACACAAATTATAGTGAGTCAGTGTTATTTTGTTTGAGAGTGCTGGAGAAAAGTAAGTACATTATTTTTTATTAAATTTTAGTTTTGTTCTCGTAGTTAGCAAAGATAGATAAATTACGCCAATCATGACTTTAGTTATTAGTAGTTAAATATTCAGTCATGCAAAATTACACGAGTACTCCTCAATAGTTTCTTTTTGAAAGTTTTATCAATCGGTAATATAATTACAGTGCAATCTCCGTAATTCGAGCTAATTGTTGCAAGAAGATGTTCGAATTATGGAATGTTTACGGAAAAATCAAAAAAATAGTTTTAATATACAGCTGCTGGATTTTCTGTCTTATTTAAATAATTTAATTTTGCCCACAGATGACTGATGCCATGTCTGAATCTAAAAAGAAATGTAGACAGTGCAGTGTTGGTTATTTGAAATTTGGCTTTATTCCATCATTGCCGGACAAACAATCGCCTATGTGCCTTTTATGCAACAAAGTTTTGGGCAATGATGCTATGAAACCATCTAAACTGCAAGATCATCTCAGAAGATGCCACCCTGATAAAACAGAGAAAGATTTGAAATACTTTCAAACACACAAAGATAAATTTCAAAAGAGACCTACACTGGACAGAATGTTCGCTTCGACGTCACAAAGAAATGATGATGGTTTGCGGGTGTCTTACAATATCTCGTTACTTATAGCAAAATCCGGAAAACCGCATACTGTCGGAGAGAAGTTAATTTTGCCAGCCGTTGAACAGGTTTTAAAAACTGTTTTACACAAACCTGCATCTGATATCATTAAAAGAATTCCCTTAAGGAACAATACTGTTGAAAGACGTATTGATGAAATGAGTTCTGATATTGCAAGCTTTTTATGTAGTTATTTGCAAACGACCCATTTCTTTATACAACTGGACGAGTCAACTTTACCTGATAATGCAGCATTATTATTGGCATATATTCGTTTTATTATGAATCAAGAAATCTACGAAGAGCTGCTCTTCGCAAGAACTTTGATAACCGACAGTAAAAGTGAATCAATATTTCATGTTTTGAAGGATTACTTCATTGAAAAAGCAATTCCTTTATCAAATATAATATCAGTAGCTACAGATGGAGCACATGCCATGGTTGGACGTTATCGTGGCTTTATAAGCTATTTAAAACAAAATGTGTCAGGGGTGTTAGCAATACATTACGTCATCCATCGACAACATTTAGTTGCTAAAAATTTGAGTGTTAGATTGCATGAATTGCTTCATTTAGTCATTGATGCAGTAAACCGAATCCGAAGCAACGCGTTGAATACGCGGTTATTTGCGCAGTTGTGTGAAGAAAATGACGAACACTTTCATCAATTACTCCTTCACACTGAAGTACGCTGGCTGTCGAAAGGCTTATGTTTTACAAGATTTTTTGCACATTTTGGGACTATTTTATAATTTCTGGATACTAAAGATAAAATTTTAAAAGGAAATTTAATGAAGAAGAAAACAGACATCGCCTATTTAACAGATTTGTTTAAAAAATTTAAT